CTCCTCTTATGCATATTCTCTAAATGAACTATGGGTCTATCTCGTTTCCTTTTGCCTGTCACAAACATAATACGTTTGTAACAGGAAGCCCTGAGCCCTCGTCAAAAAATTTTTATCTGGGTTGATATTCAAAACAATACAAAATATGTATTTTGATTTGATAGGAAAAGCCACCATAAAAACATTGTAATCTGTATTGCGATGCGCAAGAACAATTGTATCGGATCGAGTAATTCATACTCTCCAATTCGTTTTCGTATCTGTAATACGAAAACGTATATCAAATTCGTTCGTTAAGCGCAAATATCTTGCGTTAATAAAATAGCAAACGCAAGCGAAGCATATAAGTAAGAACAATTAAAGGTTTTATTTATATCTAAATTGTTAGTTATTTTAGGGAAAAGCTAAAGTTACAGTCTCAGCAACGCACCAAAAATTTGTGGAAAAACTGGCCGATGACCTTAATTGAAATGAACCTCCTGTACGAGATGTTGCTTATTGGAAAAAGAGATGTATTATATTTTTTATATAAAATGTGAAACTAACTATTGTGTATATTTACAGGTTTGGTCTGATAGATTGCTGTGACAATCCTAAAGTATGGTCTTAACCGATTTGGTGTTGATAACCACCTTGTCCAAGCTATATAAAAATTAAATATTTGAAAACGTTTGTCACATAATTCGTAACCGCGGTCACTGAGTGAGAGCATATTTGATCGATATCCTAAAATTCTCTTTTAGTTCGTCCATTCTCATTTTCTTTTAACCATAATGCCATAATGCATAATTATTTATTATTTAAAAAAAAACACTCGTACCGCACAAAAATATGTTTTTATTTAAATTTTTTTTAGCGTTTCCTTTTGTCATTCTACGTTATTAAGTCCGTTCGCTTGTGTTTGCATTTTCTTCATCCACTTTAATATTTAATATAATACAAAATCAATATAAATTTCACAAAACAATCAATTTGCTTGAGTACAAAATTGTTGTTTGTTTAGAAAACATAACAAAACAACTGATTAAATATCTGCTGATGGTACAAGAAAATTCTTACTGAGCAAATTTTCCTTGTAAGAATTTGCAAATACTCAGTAACACAACTGTCAAATCTAATGTCCCAATTTACTCTGTTTTACTGTAGTTTTGTAATAATTTGTACAAATTATTGAGTAAACGAACAAACCTATTGTCAATTTAATTTGGTTTAAGTTTTAATAATTTTTTTTCGTCTGCAAAAAATCGCTTGAGTTTTGGGTCACCCCTCGAAAGTTTAGTACTACATAACAAAATAAAACAACAATAATTTTTTATTTTATATATTTGTTTTTTATTACGGTCTTTTTTGTTCTTTTGCTGGTTTTTATTTATTCTTTGTATAATGTTTATTTTTCTTTTCGAGTTATTGCCTACAAAATAAGAAAAAATATGTGGCGTTGTTGTTAATATTTCTTTGTTTCTGTTTCATCCGATTTCACTTATATATGATACAGCATCATATCAATAATAATAATATGTTTTTAATGAGTATATAATAAGTAAATTGTATAAACATTATATATACTATATAATAATAAATATATATACTTAGATTAATGCATATATAGGGAAATTGTGTTTTCTTTTTTTTTTTTTTTGATCGAGGAAAAGGATATATAGAGTTGGAGTCACATACAACATTTATATCACTAGAATTATTGGTAATAAATTAAATACAAAAAAAGTATTTCTTTGCACTAAACTAAATATTGTGTTAATAATTTAAGAAAAAAGAAAATTAGAAATAAATAAAACTATACAAATTTGAATTATATTAGTTTAACTTTTGTCTTGCTTTGAAAAATAAGTGTTTGTGGATTTTTGTTTGGTTTTCTTTTATTTAGTTTTTAATTAAATATTTTTTTCTCTTGTTTTTCTTTTTGTTTAAGCGAAATCATTTGTTTATTGTTTCAAATAAATAGGAATCATTGAAGTGATTGTTTAACGAGTTTAATTTGCATCTTTTTCTTCTTCATCTTGTGTTTTGTTTATTTATTTATTTATCTGTCTTCCGTTTTTTTTAAAGCGAAATTTAGTAGTGTGAATTGTCCTTTATAATGAATGAATTCTGTGTCGGGATTTTTTGTTTTCAAATACATATATTTTGTTTTTGATTTCTACCTGATATTTTTGTTGTTGTTATTTTGTTCTAAATTCAGCATTTGTTTTTTAAATACGTTTAGAGCTTTAATGCATGTTTTTTAAACTTTTTCGCCATTTGTTGTAAATTTATCAAAAAATGTTTTATTTTTGTTTTTCTGTTTTTTCTCTAAGTGTATGTCTTAACGTTAAGTTTTATTGTTAGAAAATCGTTTTCCGTTTTTGTTTATAGTTGTTAATAATTTCTTTAATTTTTTATTAATTGTGTTGTTTTTTAATTAATTTCGTTCTGTGCGTTGTTTTCTAATTGAAAAACGACAAATTTGTTTTAATTGAAATAATTCATTTGAAAAATGGGGGGTTTCAAGGTACAACTAACAAAGTAAGCATCTTAAATTGAAATTGATTATTGAATTTGCTTAATAGCCGCTAAGTAAATATTAATATAACACCAGTTTTAACCTTAAATAAATTTAAATATTCATTTAATTAAAAAATGTATTTGAAATTAATTCAATTGACAAACTGAAATATTTTTTTTTCGATCTCTACTAAAATGTTACTTTGTTTATTGTGTCGTGAATTTCAGGAAAATTTTTAAAATTGGGAAAATTGTAGTCAATCTATTATAGCTTCTCCTAAAACTCTTTTAGATAATGTTGCCAAATCAGGAGCTGTTAAAAGGTGGGAACAATAGATTCTTGCCCATCGAATGAAGAATACGATTAGGTGCCTTTCGTATAACTTCTTTAAAAAGGAAGTCACTTTAAGGAACTTTTACCATGTTCGACCTCACTGCTAATATCGTGGACGTATAGATAAGAAAAATGTTAGAAGTCCCAAAAAAAGTTCGTTTCCTACTGATGTTGTTGGGGATCCCTTGACACAGTCTGTCTCAGTTGAACGATTCGGACACGGAAAACCCTAAATTATTTATATATCATGTTAAATTTCATATCCTGGCCTCTTACACATATATCATGCCATGGCTTGATCCAGCTGGAAAGAGACTGGCACAGAAAAATGGCCACTTGCGACCACAGGTCAAATAGATGCGTACACAATCCAAAGGGTTGCGCCCTTTTAGCAATATCCATTTCGTTATTAAAGATTCTTGTATATCATTTAATTGTTCGGGATTTAAAGCATCCCTATAACGATATGGATAGAATTTACCTAATGCTTTAATGTCCACATTTGTGGTGGCACTCTTGGACTTTTCATGCGAATAATCGCCCATATCAATTTGAGGAAAACGTCCCTGGACAATTTGACTATTGGCCTGATAGCACAGCAGTAGGCGTTCTTTGTCGGTTTCAAATTTCGCCGTGTGTTTCCAGTATAGTCGCATCATTTTCACGCAGAGCTGTTTCTCATTTCGAGATGACATCACAAAGTTTGGCTATGGAATCGAGATAATGTTCTAAATCTTCTTCAATGGGATCATCACTGAAGAGGCAGAAGCCATTGGAAGAATCCCGAGTGCCGATTTCTTGGGCCAAAGTACTTTGGAGTTCTTCGATTGTTGTTGAGCCATCAAACGAAACGACCCTTCATGTTAAATTTCATTCCCTAAACTCTCACACCTACATAGTTTCGGCTGTTAAAATTTTCCTGTATGAAGTCCAAAATGACTTTGTTCAGGCTAATAACTACCTAGACATCTTAATATATGACTATATGTGGAATATCTCATTTACGGGTTTAAAAGCAAAAGTTATTTTAAAGGCATCTATACATATAAAACAACTCCTACCTATATTGACTTCTTGAGCATTCCTAGTTTTACCATATCCTTATTTGTGTTTTCCTCCAAAGTTGACTACAATTTATTCTCCCTTTTTTGAAAATGTTGAATTATTAAACCAACTAATTGCATAAATATTCAACTGAAACCTTAGCGTTGTTGTTCACTTCGTTTTTCTTTCGATCGTTCCGATTTCCGTAGCTACCTAGATAAAATATGCTTAACATTTTCTGCTTACATGTGCTGGTTAGGTTTTTTATTTGCCATTTTCTTTCTCTCTGTATAATTACAATTACAAAAAAACTAAAGCCTACTTTTTTGGTGCTTTGCCTTGGTTTATGGTTTTGAATTGTAAGCTGATATATAATTTGTTGTTTAGTTTTTTTGGCTTCATTTCATGATGGTTTTTTTGTATAAGCTTTAAGCTATGTGGTATAGATAGGGAGGGTGATGTTTTTTATATATATTTATATACTTTACAAAAGGGACAGAGGGACATAGAATCATTGTTTTATGAGATTCTTAAAAAATGTTAAATTTTAAATAATATAAAAAAATTATAAATTGAGCATCCTTATACTAACACGATAAAGAACTTAAAATATAAAAAGGAAAGAAATTCAAATTTACAAAAAGAAAATAAATTTTAACAAAACAATACATTTTTAAGGTCAAATAATAAAACATTTGAAAACAAATTTTGAAAAACCAATACAATTGCTTAATCTACATTCACTTTAAACTTTCACATAATATTCATTTTTACTATTGTCCTTAATCAAGAAAAAATAAAAAAAAAATACATTTGTTGTGTAACAAAAAAAAATTTATACTAACTTCTTCTGTTTTGGTGTTGGAAAAGTACAGAGTTTTCCCACAAAGAAAAAAAATAGTCTATTTAACTTAAATTTCGACTTTAGTTTTTCTGAATCACTTGCCCTTAAAACTATTTATATACATGATGTTTTTTTTTTTAATTTCTTATAAAAAATTATACCGTTTTTATCTAAAAAATCTGTTTTGTTTTTGGTTTTTCATGCCTACTCCAATTAGGCATATTTCTTCTTCTCTTCTCAAAAATAAAGTCTCTTTGTTTGTCTTATATCTGCTGCTGCTATTTACAATTTATTCTCTTCTATTTTATTCTCTGATGATCTGGTGTACTCTTCAGAATATCCGGCTGATGTGGATTATGATGGTGATGATGATTTTGACTATGCAAGGAATTCAGTGTACCTTGATGTGAGCCACCTTGTGACCTCGTGCCGCCACCATGATCGCCGCCACTATAGTGTGAGGAACTTAATGTGTGTGAGTGATTGGAATTCAGCGTGTGCGTGGCATGTGAATTGAGGGTGTTGTGGGCCGTCGTTGTTGCATTGGTTGACATGCCAGCCGTGGTGTTACCACACAATGTTCCTCCAACTGTAGTGGCTCCCGTACCACCTGGTGGCCGTGATCTTATAGATCTGTGAGAACCATTACGCGTTAAAGAATTCATGTGCGGTGTACCGGGCACTGTATGACCCAAAGCATTCATATAATCAGCAATTAGCAGAGTGATTTCCAAAATTTTCGGTTTGGACATGGCAAACAAAAGTTTTTGTTCATGTGAACCACATGAGGCCAAGGTGTCCTCGTTCGACACAACCAACATAAAATCGTCCTGACAACCACCAAATGTCATAACCGAAGTATAAGGATATCTGGCCAACGGAGCCATGGTCGATAATTCCAAAACGTTGAGAGCATCCTCTGATACCGCCAACCAAGCCATGGCTTGATCCGAGTGTCTGGGTTTAGCTTGAAAGAGGCTGGCACCAAAATATGGCCACTTGCGACAACAGGTCAAATAGATGCGTACACAATCCAAAGTGCTGCGCCCCTTTAGCAATATCCATTTCGTTATTAAAGATTCTTGTATATCCTTCAATTGTTCCGGATTTAAAGCGTCTCTATAACGATATGGATAGAATTTATCCAATGCTTTAATGCCCACATTTGTGGTGGCACTCTTGGACTTTTCATGCGAATAATCGCCCATATCGATTTGAGCCATTAGTGAAGCCAATTCCAAAGCTAAATCACGTGATAGCGGAAAACGTCCCTGGACAATTTGACTGTTGGTTTGATAGCACAGCAGTAGGCGTTCTTTGTCGGTTTCAAATTTCACCGTGTGTTTCCAGTATAGGCGATTTTTATAGGTCAACTGTATGACACGTGTATTTTCAAATTTACCCGAACCTTTTTCACGCAGCGCCGTTTCCCATTTCGAGATGACATCACACAGTTTGGCCATGGGATCGAGATAATGTTCTAAATCTTTTTCAATGGGATCATCACTGAAGAGACAAAAGCCGTTGGAGGAATCACGAGTGCCGATTTCTTGGGCCAAAGTACTTTGGAATTCTTCGATTGTTGTTGAGCCATCAAATGAAACGACCTGGAAGAGATAGAAAGTAGTTAGAATATTAAAATATGAATACAGATGTTCACCCATATCCGATGGAGTGATATAAACTGAAAATTAAAAAAGGCAACAGTCCTTTATATATTCAACAGGTCTTTGAAGAGCGGGACTGGGACATAGAATAGCATCCTCAAGTCTTCTATAATGAAAATATCTATCTGCTGAGACCCATAGACATTTATCCATTGATATGTATTGGAAAATAAGTCAATAATTAGTTTGTACCTCCAAGAAATCCCATGTTTACAAAGGATCTATCCTTTATATAGGTATCTAAAGTTCCAATATATTCTCATGATTTTCAGAGGTGGAAAAAAGTAAATATCAATATTGCACATAGTCCTGACTTACAGAAGGCAACTTTTATTGTCCGAATTCTATAGTTTGTAGGTGAGAGAGCCCTTGCGGCAGGTAAAATTGCTTAATGTAATTTTGTATTAGATCGGCGTCTATTTGTGTACTATTTCTAGGTTGACAAAAAATGAATTCCGAGTGCCTCGAATACTAGAGGATGATAATTGTAACATATATTTGGACTTTACATGCTTTTAAAGGGTATGATATCTAACACCTCCTTATACTACTGGATTAATAATATCAGATTCATTCAGAAGACCTTGAAGTATTGTACGGATCCTTTTTGTTTTAAGGTCGATCATTGACAATTTCATTAAAATTAAACTGATTGTTTCGTAGAAAGGTGGATGATTATTAAAACCCCTATTCAACCCTCTAGTAAAAGAATTTCGAAAGACTTTTTCTCACTCACCTGATACGTTGAATTCATCATATGCACCGGTATGGCATGTGGCAACGAATGATGATAGGGATTCTTTAGCAAAATCGATAACACCTCCATACGTGAAGGTTTCGTTTCACGACCACCATTCTTTAAGGTTCTCTCCAGGGCACGTTCACAATAGGCAGCATATTTACCGGTTTCGGTTTTCGTATCGGCATTGCGAGACAAATGCAATTTCAAATACCACAATAAACGGCTGGACTTGGGCACAAACAAAGAGACAGCTAAGGCCAATAGTTGCCAGCCTTGGACGAAGGAATAGGCGGGAGGATTGGATTTGCAGTCTATTATTGGAGGAGGTACAGGAGCCTAAAAGTAAATGCAAGGGTATATTTAAAAACAAATTATGATACACAAATTCGCTTTGAAATAGAAAACGAAATTGAATAAGGGGAGGGGAAAAAGATTTACATGCATTTTTTTTCGGTATGAGGTAGTAGGGTTAGCTTTTTTGATATTGTACTGAACTTAAAAACTAAAACAACTCCTTTTCAATACCTGCAAGGATGTTGGTGAACTGCCATTTGCTTGAGCATTACCACTTTGCTGAGTATCACAGGCAAATAGACTTTGCGTGGCACATAATAGTAGTTGCTGTAAATTTGTATTTTTCGGATTTCGATTTTTTGTTTGTTTGGAATGGAATTTTGGTCATTCAATTGCGTTCGATAGGTTGATTTGATATTGTTGTTTTTTTTTGTATTTGGAATAAAAATTGTAAACAAAGAATTGGCCAAAGAAACAAAAGAAGAGAATAGGAAAAAGTGCATTAAAATTTTGTTTTCATTTCAAAGAATTTTGAATAACAACAATTTTTTATACAGTGAACACAATTTCCTTATATTAATTTATGATTAATGGGCACAGTTTTGGGTTTTTTTCATTTCTTATTTAAAGAAAATCATAAAAATTATAAGAAAAAGCGCCAAAATGTTAATAGAAAAAAATTCATAACACAGAAAAAAGTCGTAACAAAAACAACAAAAATATGATTCATTAAAGAAAAAAGCATAACAACAAGAAGGAAAAAAATGCACTCAGAAGTAAAAAAATGCTCATCTATTTTGTATGTAAGTAAATAAGTAGTGGCGAAACGAGAGCAACAAACACACATAGTTTGGCTATGGTTTTATTTTTTATATATATTAAAAATATATATATTATTTATACATAACAAATAAATTAATAGAAATAGTTTAAAATTTGCATATAAAGCAGAAAAAAGACATAGATAAGTAAATATGATGATATATTAATATATTTATGTATATATTTATATTTTATTTTTTATATATAATAAACTATGCTGCTATATTATAATTTTGTATTTGTTCTAATTTTTCGTAATAGAAGAAATTCTGAAAATTTACAGCAATTACATGTATGTACGGTGGTGTATGTAAAGTTAACTTGTTCATCTATATTGAAGTTTTTTGTATTGTGGAGTTTTTTTATTATTGTTTTATGTAAAAATGTTGCAATCTCTTTTGTTTGTAGAAAAAATATGTGGTAAAGACAAGTTTAAAACGGCATCAATCAATAACTTTTTTATGGTCAGTGTATATAAACTAAGTGTTGGAGTTTTTATATTAATATTACTAATTATTTCAAAGAAAATATACAAAACTATCAATTTTAAACTTGAAAGAAAGAAAATCCTGTATTAAAACAGGTCAAAACATTTTAGATCAGGTTTTTATTAAATTATGTATGTTTTGTATTTTTCCTTTTTATTTTATATTAATGGTATATTATAATTAGTTAATAGGTTATTGATTAGTGTACATAAATTACAGGCATGCATTATTTTTCTAATAAATTTACATTTGAACAAATACAGGATTAATTTTATAAACAAAGGAACATTTGTGTGTAAATTATTTTATAAAACATCAAATTAGTTATAGTGAAAGCTGCATTAAAAGCTGTACGTAATCTAATGAGAAGCTCTTGCCGAATCCATTAAAATAACAGAAAATGAAAAAAATTACTTTGAAAATACGAAATATTTTTAAATTTTGTAAAGCGATGGAAAATTGTACAACATACGCTTCGAAAACTGTTGGAATAAAATTTCTGAATAGATTAGAAAATACTTTAAATGAAATAAATAATTGTTTTTATATATTTTATTTTCCAAAACAGTTATAGTACGTTTACATAGTACCGGTTTGTTTTAATCCTGTAGATTTAAATTGTCAAATTCATTACATATATGTCAAATAAATCTTCATAGAGGAGGTTAACACGGCAAAAAGTTCTAATCTAAATGCCGTTTAGTGACACGTAGTTATATTGGAGATAACATTTGTCAAAATTTGTAAGGCTTTGAGAACGTATAGGAGACGTTAATAGTACGTTTACATTCTATTAGATTTCGTTAATCCAGTGGATTTAATTTGTCAATTTCATTCCATCCATAAAAAGTTCTAATCTACATGCTCCAAGAATGTACGTTAAATCATGTTTGGCAAAGAAAACAGCTGATCTCCCTAATCATAGTACTTGATAAAACCTAATTTATTGTTGAGAAGCTCTAGATTATTAAACTTGACTTTTTATATGAATTGCTGTCCGTATCCAATTAAACGTATCTCCATAAAAAATCGATTCTAGAACATTCTTTTGATAATGTATTAATAGGGTAAATACTCTAGGAAGCTGATATGAGTTCAATATTAGAAGTGAAGCCAATTTCCAAGATAAATCATGTAATAGCCGAAAATGTCCCCATACAAAAAAGGATTTGATGTTATCTAACTATTAAGTCCTTTGTCGGTTTTAAATGTTACGGCGTGCTTCCAGCAAATACAATTTTTGTGGGTCATTTGTATCACACGAGTACTTTTAAATTTACTGGAAATTTTACGCGTAGTTATTTTTTCCAATTTGATAGTTTGGCCATGGGCTTAATAAAATGTGCAAAAAAATTTCCAATGGAATTGTGATTTAAGAAATAAAGGCTCTCTTTAATGTGTTAAGTCTATCAATTCCTTTGGAAGGTTTCGATATCGATATAAACCTTATAATGAAAATCAATGACAGAACAGCTGAGTCTATTCAGAGTTGCAATTGTAGACATTATTGTTTTACTCATCTATGAGAAAAATCTCTGGAAAGGTATTCGATCAATAGAAAGCATACTGAAGACTTTCTTTGTATATAGACCATTAAAAAGTTTATCTATGGAAATCCTGATCTTATCCTACACATTTTATTAGGTATTTTGCATAATACTGCGTTTGAAACAGATAGGTCAGTTGTTTGTTTAGAGTTGTAATTGTAGACACTCTTTTTTTACTCTTAAGTTATTTAGATCAATAGAAAGTCTCTGGAAAATATTTCTATAATTTGAAACCGTCCTACAGTAATCTTGTTTATTTTTATTATTTATAGGTATATTCGTTTACTCAATAATTTGTAGAAATTGTTACTGGATAGTCTTCATTAAAGCAAAAGTCCAGCAAAAATGAGTGAATTGAGAGAGAAAATTTGACAGTTGTGTTACCCAATAAAGATTTTCCAGTATCAGCTGACATTTTTGTAAACAAACAGAACATAGTAAAAATTGGTAGATTCTTCCAGTACGGGAACAAATCAAGTGGATTTAAGGCGCATTTAGACTCATGGTACAATTATAAAAGGTAACAGCAAATCCCAGCTGATTTGATTCCAACGTAATACTAGTGTCAATATGAATTTGACAAATTGTGTTTTTAAAAATCACCCAATAGGAAAATTGGGTGATTTCTTGAAGGAATTACTCGATATTCCCAGCATTGTCATATGTGTTACACATATATATGGCATTGGCTCAATTAAAGGAAAGATGTGGAAGCGATAGAAATATAAATTTGATAGATTTTCATTCATGTTTTTCAATTTTTATTTTGAGGATTCGAAAATATTCCATTTTCAAAATAAAAATAATTTGATGATAATTTGTTTGTTTGTTTGTTTACATTTTTCTGTCAAATGAGTTGACACTAGTAGAACTTACAACAACAAATTTCCATGTGGTTGTTGTATCGTTTTTTGTACAACAACACTTGCTGTTACCTTTTATTATTATACCATGAATTAGACTGTACCTTCTAATCGACTCGATTTCTTAATTGAGTTACTGAATCCAGGCTGTTTAGCCCAGTACCAAAAGAATATTATGTTGATATGTCACGTATATACTGTGACAGTTTTTGTCGATATTTTCATAATTCTAGTAGGAATTGCTCTCCATTAGGTGAAAATTGTATAAAGACATATATGATTTGTTCCAGTACTTTTTTAAGGGAACATTTAAAAATCGCTCTCTTAGTACAAAACAAATTGGAAAGTTCGGGAACGCAAATCTAGTAAATATGCCAAAATTAGATGGTAATACTTCAAAATCAAAATAACAGCCAATCAGAAGTTGGCATTCCTGTTTACCATTTTTACTCGGATAAATTTTTCGAGCAAAAAGTTTACGAAGAGAACGCCACTTTGTTTTGTGTTCTCTTAAATTTGGTTCAGTGTTTTACCAGTTTTGTGGTTTCAGGAACGGTTTTCGATTAAAAAGTTGCAAAACTTGTAAAATTGGTAGGTTATTTTATGTTCTGGAACGGAACTATATTGTATTGTAGCATTTATTAGTACCATTTCAGCACCTGCAAGAAACGCATACCTGAACCAACAAAACTAGTAAAAAGTTCAACCAAATTAAAGAGAAAAAACAAAATGGCTTTCTAAAACTTTTTACTCAAGCAATTTGGGCGAGTAAATATGGTAAAGAGGAATGCTAACTTCTGATTGGCTGTTATGTTGATTTTGAAGATTTCTGCTCCGAACTCGAATTATTTTGTATTCTGAGAGTGATTTTGACATTATTCCCTTTAACTAGCTTTACTATTAATAAGTACTGGAACAGAATTCTGATGCTGCCATTTTTTGTTAGGTAACTATTTTGAATTTAAAGCATTACCATTTTTTTTACTTATAGGAGAATTGGCACATTTTATGGTGCAAAGGCAGTGTTGTATTTGAAATTATGTTGATTTAGCAGAGGATCTCGACTTCATATGTTAATTGGGTGATTAAATAATGTTTAGGCCCACTGAGTCTTGTGAATTTACGAAGTCTTTATCTGCGAATTGGTTTTTAATTTACGATAGTTGAAAAATGTGGGTTGTTAAGTTAGTTGCACCAAAAGCTGTGCTAGTTATTAAATCTGCATTGTCATAGAGAGTAGCTTGTTTTGCCCGGGACAAGACTTATTAATAAGGCAATCAAGGGAGACCATGTGGATATCAGCTGTCAAAACCCATTATTGTAAATCGACTTCCATTATGAAAACGTAAACAAAGTCCAAGTTTTTGACATTAGAATTCAGAAAAAAAACAGCTGATGTTCGCTTGCTGAGTGACCTTATCAATATATCGTGGTCTGGGATTTTTGAGCAGTATTGATTCTGTATTATTCTGTTGTAGCCTTTAAATTTGGGAAATATTTTCTATTTTCAGAAATTTGCAGAATAGATATCTATATACAAAGTCGATTAATCGATCGCCCTATATGTCCCTACTGCTATATAAGAGCTTTGTTCCCGCAAATTAAAGACCTCGTTGTTAAATAATAGCGTAACTTTTTGAGGCAAAACATGAGATCTGGTTCTCCAATATCTAAATATCCTTATCATGATCGATATTTTTATTAAAAAATAAAGAATGAAGAAAAAAGCTTTTCTTTATCCCCATATAATTTAATGTTGATATTTTCCTCTTCCTATTGGTGCTTTATGTATTCGGTGAATTCGTAATAGCTTGCTTGATCCGCTTTCACTAGATTTGTGATGTTAATATAGGTATTTGTTTGGGGTATTTTGGTTTTAGTTAGTGTTCTCTAGATGGACTAAAGACAGTGGAGTGGTTGTGTTATTGGGTTTCATTTTTGCCAGTTTTCTCTAAAACATAACTAAACTAAAAAACAAACTATAACATCAACACAAACTAAATCTAAAACTATAAAAGAAAACCAAAAAAACTAAACAAATAATCGTAAACAAGAAGCAATTTGCAACTTAAAAAACTTACGCGCGTCTGCTTGCCCAGTTTCTTGTTTACCTGGACGCCAACACTAAGCTTTTGGCCCGTGTGCCGGGATGTTTGTTTGATGAGAATGCAAAACATTTCCGAATGTAATTCGGGCATATCCAGGCAATGTTGCAGAGCATTTTGGGCCAGTACAACATGATAATCGATGCCGGGTTGATTTACGGCCACGGACATAAACAATTGAATGCTCTGTAAGGGAAAGGAAAATGAGGGAGATTAGAAATCAGTTACCAAGAACAGGAAATAGTTTAACATACCTTAAATAGTTTAATGGCTTCCTGATGCATACTTTCGGTATGCAGTGTACACATGGGAGCGGTAATTGTGTCTTTGGTGTGTAACAAAATAGGATGGCGCCAAATAACACAGTCTGCAGGGAAAAAGAGTGTCAATATTTAGTAAATAATTTTTATTTTGTTAGTGTCCTGGTAACTTACTAGGATCTCCATCGGTTTCCATGAGTTTTTGCACCAATTGTTCATATTGTGTGCCAGCACTGGGTCCACCACCCGAAACCACGGTCAAATTGTATAACCAATTATCCCGTTCGGCCTTGTTGGGCAATATCAAATATGTGGGACCCTGATGGGCAGGATATATGGCCACCGTTAAATGGGCCTGACTTTGGGGATCCTCTCTTTCCTCGGAATCTGAATCGGAAACATGTTCCACTTCTTCGACTCGAGCATCACGCATGTTTATTTGACCCAGGGGATTCTAAAAAAATTTAGAAATTTTTATAGAAAATACATTTGTTGAGGTTATGTTTCGACCTACGGTTTCATTGGGCGCCTTAAAATACAAAAACATCTTCCCCAACAGCACACACCAACATTTCTTGGCGTGACCATTCTTCACCTTGGTTACCCAACCCTGCAGTGTGGGCTTTTGATCTTCTCTACTCAGCAGCAGTTTGGTGGCATTTCTTCTTTGGACATTTTGTAGAACTCGGATCCAATCATCCATTGTGGCATTGGAATCGGCAGTGAGATAATAGACTTTTTTCCCCGTATCAATTTCAAAGGTGGAGGCACCTTCGGCTTTGCTAATGCGACAGGCCTCATCAAGCATTATCTGGCCTTGGGGTTTGCGGTTAATGTCATGTTGGCTCTTCCAATAGGTCAGGGTGCCATTTTTCAAGACAAACCAGCGTTTACGCCAGGTCTTTAGCTTACCACCCAATTTGGCCAAATGACCAGCCTGGGGACGAGAATGATTTATGAAAAAATATTCTTTTGGTTGGGGAATTTCGCTTTCACTTACCTTTTCCAAGGACTCCAATTTCTTACTGGGCGAATCTACATAGGACTGGCGCATCAACAGCGATGGCATACTAGCATCCATGGGACACGTGGACTCCGAAACAGCATCGGGCGGCAAAGCATAATCGTCGGATAGGCCTGATTCAAAGGAAATATCTGAAATTACTGTGCCACGCATTTGATGAGGGATACGTAGATGATGATTGTTGGCAGACGTCGAGTTTCTCTGATATTGTGCCGGATTGGTTTGTGATGGTGATTTGCGCATGATTGCATTGGTGTTATTCGGACTCAAGTGGGAATTATGGATATTGTGATTGTTGAGATGTGTATAGGGTAGGGGCATGGTGTTGTGATGATGATTCTGATTTTGATGATGTTGGTTGTGGGTAATGGTGTTGTGGTGGAGTGTTGTTGTTTGTTTTTTACGCTGTTGGAGTTTGGGACTGGGACTTTGATTGCGAATTTGTTGTTGTTGATGATGATGGGACTCATGACGTTGATGATCATCTGAATGTTTGTAATGATGAATAATACGATTGACTATGTATATATTTACAGTGCAAAATAGTTATGATTTTAGAAAATGGGTTTCATGTTATGAAACCGGGTAGGGAAGGTTTCCATGAAAGAATTTATGAGGAAGAAAGTCGTAGAGAGTGAGAGGAAAAAAAGAACCATGCATTGCAAATTTGATGCCAGTCGTATGAGCAAAGTTCGATGATATGAATCACAATTCAAAAGGTATGAAGATAACCAATGCAATAGAGAGAGAGAGAGAGGAAGTTTGAAAGAATTTGAGAGCGAGCGATAGAGTCATGCAGTTATGCCGCGTTTATGTTCGGGAAATGCAGTTTCGTGTATTTGGTGTTAGAATTTAAAAGTTTTGTTTTAGTATTTTTTGTATTTAAAGTTTTTTTTTAGTTTTATAATATGCAAGAAGTTTGGGGGTTTTAAGGGATTGAGGAAAAAAGGTATTCCGCAACAACTAAATAAATATTTTATAAAAAAGTAACGTAATAATAGATTAAGGAAATAAGCTATTGTAATAATATGCCTACCGAATACTAATTGATATTTTAAAATGGAACCATGTTACGATGTACGAAAAGAACATGACACAATAAAATATTCGGTTAACTGTCAAAGTGCGTAGTTTCTATGTGCAATGTTGCCAACCATGTGAAAAATTACTGGAAACTATTTGACAGATGGACAAAAATAAAAGACGCCATTCATTCGAATGACGCCTAAAAGCTAAAGCTCCAGCTGTATGAATTTATATATATAGACATTGGAGGGTTATAGTATGTCTAGTCCACAACTTGCAACAATGTACACATTTTTACTACGATACAAATTTTTCGTTATGATAAAGCAAAATAAATAGTAGATTCTATCTGTTCTGGAACAGATCAAATAGGTATAAAATGATCGTAGCAAATATAATAAATAATCTGGATTAGATGAGCCGTTACAAACATAAATATCTAATAGTTATTGGGCGTATCAATGATAACAGGACAATACAGTTATACTGAACATGGTCCGACAATGAGATTTAGTTCTGAGATCCCAAATTGCCAAGCTATGTACACTGACATCTGTCTGCGGTCACATAATTAGCCGAAGACATAACGCTATTGTGATAGAAACTATGTTCAAGAAGAATCAGCATGCCATGAATTATATTTTAATTGGGCGCCATCGTGATATGGTGTTTCTCTACATTAATATGTATCTATATATTTTTGTTAAAATTATAACAACAATATAATAGATGAGGTAACCAATAATTCTACCACCTGCCCCTGGAGGTCGTTTACTGAAATCAGTAGAACATTTTCGATTTTTTCCTTTTGTACAGGAATACCAGGATTTCATCTCCAAATTGTTCAATTGGGCGCCAAGATATCAAAACGTTTCCAATCGAATCCATTCTGCATGCAATTTTTCGGAAATCAGAAGACAGATTTTAAATATTTATAAAATCCTAATCACATTTCCCATCGATCTGGATTGTGTCAGATGCTGATCAGGAGCATGTACCAACTTATTAGTGCAATTTGGTTAGAGGAATGTATGCCCAATGATTGGAACCTTAGCATCCTGTGTCTCGTGTACAAAAAAGAATATCGAAAGTCGATCTTTAAAAGTCGACTTTGCGATTTCCTCAAATATCAAATGTCGACTTCGATTTAGACTTGTATATTAATCAATTAGTCGAAAGTCGATTTACTTATCTCTAATGCAAAATCGACTAAATTTTTTTATATGAATTGTTGTCAACAGACGAAATAAAGATCTGGAATATGGCTGTATGAGAATAAACCAAGTATTAATGAATAAATCGAAAGTCGATCTTGAAAAGTCAACTTTGCGATTATCTCAAAGATCAAAAGTCGACTTCGTCTTTTCAATATAAAAAGTCGATTAGTCGAAAGCCGATTTACTTATCCCTTTTTGGCAACTAACATCGTCATTCCCTAAGAACAAGAATATTATTGTTTTATCCAGCCATCCAAATTTTGTCTTACTTAATTTTGTATTAATTATTTCCTTTTGAGTAAATTTATATTTTAAGTAAAATAATCGATTAATTGAAAGTCGATCTATGCATCCCTAATGTATTTAGCTTGCCAAAAATATTAGGCATTATGATGTTGAAAATTACAAATCGTGAGGGATTCACAAATGGAAGGCATTATTTTATAATAAAAAAATATACAAATTTATATAAAAACAAATCGATTAAAAAAAGAATAAACTATTTATAAAAAAAATAAAATCTCAAAGCATATTTACAGACTACTAAAGTAAAACTCAAGCATAAACTATAGAACAAAGAAAGGAAAATTAAAAATTTTGGGGATTTTTCATTTGGGGAAAAATTGGGGATTGGCACACAAACTTCATTTGGAATTTTTACGGTTCATTTCGCAATTTTTTCTTTTATCAGTTTTTTTTTTACCATTATCCAAAGACAATATATGTACAACGGAATTTTCAAAATATGGCGGGGTACATATATTTGTCATAACTATGGAAAACATTTGGGAGTACTACCAACAAATCATTAACTACGCAGGCAAGTTGTATATAAATATAAAATACAAATAATAATACTATATAAATTGGTAAATAAAAAAAACACGAGAAGTGTATATTTTATACACTTCTTTTGGAAGAGGAACGAAATTTTATAACAATTAGTGTTGGGGTTTTGTAGTATCTACATACCTCGTGCTTTTGTATTTTTAGGACTCTCAGAACCACTACGTTTAGCTGGACTCAACGATGAGGAAGTTTTACAACTTTTCGATGGACTGGAAGCACTACCGGAAGTTGATGTTTCCGTATTGTCGGTACTCGATGAATTATGTGAATTGTGTGTTAGCATAACAGCATGATCTTCCCCATCGCTCGAATCATCCGATGAGTCGCCGGTAAATGGCATGGAACGTATTTGAGAGGCGCGCTAGAATGAGAACAAAAAATTAAATTTATTTTTTATGAAAATCGAAAAGATAATAGTAGGAAATGATTGAGAATAATGAAAATATTTGTGGGAATGTAAAAGCTAATAGAAATAATCTAAGGAGCTCTATCTATTATAGGTCTAATATATTAAAAACAAAAATATCCCTATTATATATAAATATGTTGAATATTGCGACTGATTGCATAATTGGCAACACATATATTTTAATTAGAGATCCCTACATTAATCGGTTACGATAAGAATATATGGTTACTCTAAATTAAAGGAGAGTTATCAGTTCGTCCTCGGACGGCTCACAAGAAAGACGTAAAAATTTTAAATGAGTATTACACGCCCACGGGCTTAAAAATAGATTTTTACAAAATGGCGGTTGTTAAGCGTTCGCTTAACTAACACGTGTGTTTTTAAATACGGATAACCTATAAATTACGAGTCGTTCAACAGAATCTAAACAGCTGCGCATGAAATTTTTAATTTTCGTAAATTTAATAACAAAAGAAGATGCTTTTCGCAACTATGTGACTCCTTCACAGTAGAAGAGTTCACTGATACACAAGGCTTAGAAAGTCTGAACATTGTGGTCAAATTCTTAAAGAAGATCGAAGTCAACCTGCAAAACACAAACCACCATCTATGGATAAAGTCAAATTCGTAGCTTAAGCTACATATGGAGACATGGCTCTGAACATTCTAATACCAAATAGGACGTGAGCCAAGGAGGAGAGGAGTTAATTGGAAAAAAAAAGGAGAGTTATGTAAGTAATCATTAAGAATGATCTAGAGTTAGAAGTTTATAGAATAAGATACGAAAGTATAAAAGATACGAAAGCCTTAAGGCTCGTAAAGTTTAAAGAGTATGTATAAGTACTAGTTTGTTTAAAGACTCGCCTAGCATTCCAAATGCAGCGATAGTTATGAAACAGTACGTAGTCTCCTTCATTGTAAGCCATATGGCATAGGAGAAAAAGATTTTAAATTTAATTTTATACTGTAACCATTAAGTATACCGTACAATGAAATGATTTTCTAAATAAGTGACTATTTTCAAATCAAATCAGAAATCTTTGCCAGTGTGTAAAGTGTCGTCCGCCAGTATTACTAAGTATTAAGTGTCAGTTAAAGTCCGAATAATCAATAAAGTCTGCCAACACCCCATATTAAAACTGTGTTTAATTTTTGTGGGCTTCGCTGAACGTAGAAATAATTAAATAACGACTGAACTTCGCTTTATTAACAAGTAGTTATTCCTCACTTCTTATTGATATGTTATACTGAAAATGGAAATTTTTTAAAATATAATTTTAAGCATACATTTACGATGATTAACAAAAGAGCCTCAATTTTGATAATATATATGGAAAATCAATATAAAAATTCATTGCCCTATAAAATTAACAAAAAAAGCAAACTCTCCAAGATAACTTTGTTTTCAATTGGTTCTCTTTTTAAAGCCCACATTTAGGCTGTCACATCTACACAACGTATTAGGTTAACGCAAATGACCCTAAAGTTTCTAAATCATTACACTTTATGGCCACAATAATAAAAACCTTCAGCACCCTCAATCATCTTAAAACTTTCAAAGCAAAAAAAAAAAAAAAAAACTTTACAATGACTTTTAAACTTTATATTAACATTTCAAATAAGAATGAAAGAAAAAATGTTGCATACTTATAGGAGCGGCAAAAATGGCCACTTGCCTTTTATAGTTAAGTTTATTAACACAACCTTAAGTATACTTATGGCCACCTATCACAGTGGGAAGTTCAGCACAGAAACTTCATCACGTTTTGGCATTTGAATGGGGATTTCAAACAATACAAGGAAGAAGCAATGGAATAATTTATTTGAAGTATACAAATTTTGAAGTGCCTAGGGAGAGGGTCATCATAAAAACGGGAAGAGAGAGAATAGAAAAAAGTTTTTTTTTTAAGAATAGATGTAAGGGAGGAAATGGAAAGGGACAATTTTCTGGGATCATAGGAAAATTTTATAAAACAATAAAATTAACATTTTTGTGGAAGAAAGGTTCAAATAAATGCTATAAATTCCATAGACATCAAATATTTGTAGTGTGCTTTCAGGCATATCATTCATAAAGTATATTTTCTGGGCAGATGTAGTTCAAGGAATTAAAAAATATAATTTGCAGATGTCGTTTTATTGAAGTGTCAATCAGTTACTTTAAGGAGGTATTTTTTTGTAAAGAAGTCTTGCAGAACGACTTTTACAAATAATTAAAGGGGTTTCAGAACGTCGAAGTCGCTGAGGGTGGATCTTCTATAGATAGAAGTTTTATAAGGGACAAAAATTCTTCTAAATGGTATTATATAATGAAGAGGTCTTCAAAAAGGTTTTGGTACGTAAATTAAAAAAATAGACATTTAATATTTGTTGTGTGATTTTAGGGGCACCATTCGTGAAGAACATTTCCCTTGCAGATATGCTCCCAAGAATTTAAAAATATAAATGTTTACAGAACGCGTATTTTTCTAAGTGTCAATCAGACCCTTCAAGAATATATTTTATATACTGAAGTCCTGCCGGACGTCTTTTAAAAGCAATAAAAGTTTTTTTTCAAACAGACGAAATCTTTAAAGGATCGTCTTTTAAAGATAGCGGTCTTCTAGGAGACAAAAGTCCTTCTAGATGGTATTCTATAGAGAGGAACTCCCCAAACAAGAGTTGCCCAGAAATATTTGTAGTGTTCATGAAAAATATGTTTGGACAGACATGGTTCAATGAATTTCAACTTTTAGGTTGTATATAGAGAGGATTCCTCCAAAAGAGGGCTGGGTACATAAATAAAAGAAATAAAAAGAACTTATTTCAGAGAATCTGCTATTACCTCTCTAAGAATAACTTCTGAATATAAAAAACCCTCCTGCAGTTAGAAATCCTTCAAAAATATCCTGTACGTAGCGGCTAGAGTTGAGTAGTTCGGGAACGAACTATTTCATTGGAACTATTCCGAGAAAGGAACGAACGGAACTAGTGAATCAACACGGAACTATGTGAGCGAAAAAAAGAACGATAAAAAGAGAGATTTAAAGGAACTCGGAACTATATGAAGCAAAGGAACTATATTAGGAACTAGTTCCTTTTAAAAAGTACCAACTAAAAAAAAAATGGCGGTATTTTAGGCATTGAAACCCTGAAGTGTCAAATACGAGACACTTCGGTTCGAAAATGCGATTGAGACCTTTAAAATACATTTTCAGTGAAGAAGAGCCAGAGAATATAATGTTTCAAATTGCCGGCCTTTTCTTAAAATAAACGGAAAATCGTTCAAAATCTAGATTAAAATCGGGCTGTAGAAAACAATCCAGAAAACCTAACAAAAATACTACTAGCTCTATCGTGGACTGAAAAATATACATGATTATCGAAGTGCTTCGAATTTTACGCTGATCAAAAATTTTGGGGATTTGAGGGGGAGAGGTACCAACACATAATTTTTGGCGATTCAAATCCTTAAAAACTGAAATTAAAATATTGTTGCCTACTTTCAGGTCCTATTTAAAAATGGAGAGTATTAAAAATATCAATGCCTAATTATTGATGTTTCAATAACTATAAAAATTGTAATGCATTCTTTCAGGAGTTTTCTTCAAAATATTGTTGTTGCCTACTATCGGGTGCTTTCTACAAAAGTCAAGTTGCAAGTTTTCACTACATTAAATTCCAAGTTTTCACTACATTAAAAAGTTCCCATATAATATTAAAAAAATCAAAGCCTAAGCATTGCGGTTTCAATCACTTTAAATTTTATAATGAATACTTTCAGGAGTTTTCTATAAAATATTGTTGCATACTTTCAGATACTTTCTGCAGAAGCAAACTTCCAATATAATATATTGAAAAGTTCCCATATAATATTTAAAAATAAAGATGGAGGGTATCAAAAATATCAAAGCCCAATTATTGACGTTTCAATCACTATTAAAATAGTAATGTATACTTTCAGGGTTTACTTCAAAATAGTGTTGTCTTCTTTTAGGCAAAAGCAAAGTTTCAGTATAATATTTAAAAAAAAATCCCACATAATATTTTAAAAAAAGGAAGAGTATCAAGAATGTCAATGCCTAATTATTGACGTTTTAATTAATATAAAAAAATGTAATGCATACTTTCAGGAGTTTTCTTCAACATGTTGTTGCCTATTTTCAGGTGTTTTCTGCAGAAGCAAAGTTCCAATATAACATTAAAAATTTCCCATATAATATTTAAAAAAAGATGGAGAGTAGCAAAAATATCGTTTTAAAATTTCTAATGCATACTTTCAGGAGTTTCCATCAAAAACTAAAATCCGTTTCAAAAAAACCCAACTTACCCCTTTAACTGTTGCATAAACTGGCACCGATATATCACAGAAACCACCACTGGCTGTTTGTTGTTGTCTCGTTGGCATTTGAGGTGTACCGGGAGTTATGACACCACCACCCCCATCATTTAACGAAGCAGGAGTATGACGACCATGATGAACATTATTTAGGGTATTCGAATGACTATTAGCACCGCTAGTCGATTCTTGAATATCTGGCGGCGGTGCCTGAGCTGACTGTGAATGACTACTTGTGGCGCCACCACCACCATTTTCAGAACTACTCGCACCGGCCAAACCATCATTGGCCACTTGATAGATTTTCGCCTCCCACGATGGGAAACGATGTAACGGTGGTGTTGGTGGTCTTGGTACTCCACCTATTTCACTGGTAGTTGTTGTGGTGCTGGTGCCACCACTGGCCATTAGAGCAGGATTATTTTTCATCCAGGCTGGCATTTTTTCACATGATGGTGTATAGATTTCGGCATAATCATGCGCGGTATCTGTATCCGAACTATCGGGGCGACCATTTTTCGCACCGCCACTTGCGGATTGTTTTGATATGCTAGCTAAGGGGGCGAGGGTGAGACCATCAACGGCCGCCACCAGATTACGTTCCAACTCAGTCGGCTCCATGGAGAGATTGCGACGATGCTGGTGATGTGGATATGAGGCGGTTAGGGGGCGATTTATAATCTCTTGGGTATCTAGACTTTCGCTGCGACGACGATTCTCCTTCGAGGCGGCAAACTCCTGGACATCCAGACTCAAACTGTTGCGAACGGGCCCAATGACACTGTGTCGATTCGACTGATTGGCTATGTAGTTTTTCAGCAGTTCCAATTGTTGATTGCACTTTTGATTTTGCTCACGCAATAGTTCATTTTGTTCCTCGAGGTCACGGAGTTTATTGTTGACCCACTCTTTGATTTTGGCCGCCTTGGCTTCGATTTGTCGGGCGTCCTGCAGTCGTAATTGACGTTGCTCCTCTACTTGGATTTCTAGTGAGGTTATGACTTTTTCGGCTTCAGGATGGGCTGGAAGACTTGTGGATTGTTGTTGTTGACTGGCAGTTACTGGTGATGTATTGGCTGGAGTTTGAGGTTGTTGCTGTTGAAGGCCTTGTTGCTGTTGATTGGTTGAATTAGTTGTGGTGTTGGCTGTGGTTGGTGGTTTAGGCCATTCACTCAACCTTTGTTCCATAGCCCGCACCTGCAAGGAAAAAAATAAAAAAGAAAAACAATTATTATAAAAAGTGGAAAAAACACACCGACACAAAAAGAAGTTTTAAAATACAAAAGTTTGTTGGTAAAAAATTCCCAGACATGAACTTGTAATTTCTTAAAATATTCAAACTCTCCACCTACTATCTTTCGTGGCATGGAAAAGTTCTTTGTATTTGGCATTTCCGTTTCCTCGTTTACCATTTCCTTCCATTGCACACGGAAATACATTAACCATTTGTACTTGGAAAGCAGTCTGCCATTGAAAATTAAGTTCTTATGTGATTTTCCACACTTAGCATTTGTGAAGACTTTTGTTGCCTGGTTCCATTGCATACTTTAAGGGGTTTGCACAAAAGTAATTAAACAATTCGCCTGTCTGACAAAGGAATGGAGAGAAAAAATAAACAACGACAACGAAACACATGGGCTATGTGCATTTCGTTATTTTATGCAGCGTGTAATTTTCAACTCATAAAATAGGTTTCCTATGGCAAAAAAAAACAGAACTTTCCATCTGTTGGCAAAATTTAACTTAACTCCCTAAGATATGCTAAATGGAACTTGCAAGGTGGTATCTTTGTTTTTATTTCTTCGAGATGATCATGAAACGCCTGATTTTATGCTCCACACATCTCACATCTTGCCGAGTAATTATTATGTTATCCTTAGACATCCACCGGAAAGTTTGTTAAGTAAAATGCGGATAAAGATAACAAAATGTTAATGGTTTCTTCTCGGAGTCTTTTTTCATCTATTCATGGCTGTATCTCTCATTTGCAAAACAACAAAACGGAAAAAATCAACCGGAACAATGAGGTAAAGAAGCAAAGAAACAAACAAAGCTTCATTATTAATCCCCACACGTAATATGAATATCGCAAAGTATACCGCACTTAACGTGCACATTTTGAAATCATAAACACTCACCAAGAGCTGAGGAGCAGTGGCGCAAAGTATTAAGGCGGAAAAGTTTATATTGATGGCTGTTAAGTGCATGCACCATGGAATTCGTTGGAAAATAAGATTATGCACTTTTCCAATTTGTTTTAGAAGAGTTTTAAATAGTTAAATGGAAATTTGTATTTGGATTTTTTTCGATTAAAGAATAAATGGAGATTTGAATTTTTATATTCTAAATTAAAAAAGTTAACACAAAAAGTAAAAATGCTGAAAATACACTTTGGTTAAGGTTGACGTATACGTTGCGTGGGCAGTTATACGCCACATGGTACTGTTAACCAAATTATCCACAATTTCAGAGTTAGTCGAACAACCAAATATTTAAAGCTTTCAAATTATATTTATACACCAATTCTATTTCCATACTTTTTTTGAAATTTAACGAAAAATCAATGTCCAGGTTTGTAAACTATTTCAATTTCAAATATTTAACTCACGCCAAAAATGACAATACTACTATTAGAAAATCACAATACTACTAAATTATTTTAATAAATTATTTTATTTTATTATTGTATCTTGTTCTATATTCTCCTAGTTTCATTCTAAAACGAAATTTTATTTAAAAATATTCATTTATTAATAAAATATTTAAACTTTGAAATTAAATTGAAGATTTTAAACAAATAAATCTCTGGCGTTATCTGGGTTGAATGGTAGACAGAGATGAAAAGAGAAATTGATGATTAATAAATTGTTTAGATAAACAAATTAAGACTACACTTTAAAATTAGTATTCAATGAAAATATACTTTGTTTAATATTGGCGTATACGTTACGCCAGCAGTTATACTACACATGGTACTGTTGAAGAAATAATCCATAATTTCAAAGTAAGTCAGATTATTTCAATTATATTTGTATATTAATTTATTTTTTAAAACTTCTTGAACTTGGAAGACAAAATCTGCCAGTTTCGCAATTTATTTAAATGGTAGACAAAAAGTAAATTGTGTGTGAATCGCTTAAAGAAAAATACACACTTTTCTATATTGGAATATTAAAGTATTTGTGTTTGATTTGTTTCAAAAATATTGTTAAGTGGTAATATTTATTTTGTTTGTGGCTTTGTGTCCTTAACACACGTAATATGTTTTGTAAATTTTACTAGAAGACGAAGATGTGTTTCAGAACCTAAAATGGACTTTAACCACTTAAAGAAATGACACAAATAATTTCAGATAATTTGTTTTGGACTTTGAAAATTGTGAAATTTTGAAGACTTCGAATAATTTTCCTAATTAGTTTTTGGACTTTAAAAATTGTGCAATTTTGAAAAATTAGCTGCAATTTATTTTAGTCACAACGTAGCGTATACGTTGTGACAATAATTATACGCCACATGGAACTTCAAAATAAATCATTAATTATTCCAGAAGTTTCTTTTTGTTAATTGTGGCAGTCTTTCTTACTCTATGATTACCAAAAGTCGTCGAAAATATAGAAACATTTTGGTTAATATTAGCATATACGTTGTTGCAACAATTATACGCCACATGGAACATAAAAATAGAAACAAAATAATTAATAATATTAGATAGTACTTTTTTTGTTAATTGTGGGCTCCAAATGATTTTTAGAACGAGTCTTGGGTTTTGAAAAGTCGCCATAAATATACCAGAATACCTGATATTTATTTTGATTAGAATTCGCGTATACGCTGTGACACAGTTATACGCCATATGGGACTGTTAAAGATAATTTTTGGAATAATTGTAGACTCTAAATGATTTTCAGAAGTGTGTTTTTCGGCTTTGAAAATTGTGGTATTGTTATGCATCATATTAATAAAATTTAAGGCATATCAGTTTTTTAATAATGAAATGGTTATGCAGAAATGTTAACAGTAAAATATGTTGTATAAACAGTACAAAGAATAAATGCAAACTTTGCTATAAATTTCGTATTCTATGAGTCACAAAAACACGTCGAAAATCTGTAAAAATACCTGAAATTTATTTTGATTAACAGTGGCGTATACGTTCCGACAGCAGTTATACGCCACATGGAACTGTTAAATTAATAATCTATAATAGCGGATAAGTTTTTTACATTAATTGTGGACGTCAAATGATTCTTAGAACCAGAATCTCAGGTTTTCGGATCTGACAATCGTGGCCGTGTAATTCACAATGTGGATTAAAAATTAAGACTTTCAAAATACATGGTAATCATGGGCGTAAAGGTTGTGACAACAATTATACGCCACATGGAACTGTTAAATATTCACGTATTTTAGGTATTTTTTTTAATGTGGGCTTCAAATCATTTTCAGAATGAAAAGGAAAGAAAATATTTATGGAATTTTAAATATCTGATTGGGTTTCAGAAATTTCGGTTTGAAAATGAATAAAAAAATTCCGATATTAAATGATAATTTTAATTATCAACAATACATGGAATGTATCCCGGTTAACCAGGGACGTATACATTCTGACAACAGTTATACGCCACATGGTACTGTTAAATAGTCAATATATTTTTTTAAATTGTAGGCTCCAATTATGGTAGAGTTATGCACTATATTGATAAAGTTTTCCTTTTGATTATCAATTTATTGTTATCAAACTGAACATTTAAGTCAAACCTATGTTTAACTATGCAAAAAAACAAAATGAAAAATATATTTATGGAATTAATAAAAAACTGATTGGATTACAATAATTTTGGTTTGAAATTCCGATTGATGAATAAAAAATCTCCGATATTAAATGATAATTTTAATTATCAACAATACATGGAATTTATCCTGGTTGACCAGTGGCGTATAAGTTCTGCCAACAGTTATACGCCAGATGGTACGGTTAAATAAATAATTCATAATATAATCGATATTGTTAACGATTTTTATATCGTTTTCAAATTGTCAGGTGGAAAAATATCCATGAAAATTAGTACACAATAAAATTAAAATAGTTTTTGAAATTCTGAATGTGACTAATAAAATGAATTAAGTTTCCATGCACATTTAAAAGTGACGAAAAATCCCATAAAATTTCCTTACTCCCAGGCAACTTTTGGTTTGTAAAAAAGTATTATTTTTAGTAATTACAAATATTTACAACAATAAAATTGATTGAACACCTAGAATGGTGCCCTTCTAAAAGTGAGGAAAATTCCCATAACATTTCCTTCCTTTCATGCAGGTTTTTTTTTTGTAAAAAACTAATATTTTTAGTAATTAAAAATATTTACAACAATTTCAATAAAATTCATTGAGCAACTATAACTTGTTATATTTAAAAATAGATTACTTAATATTATTTTAAAGTTTTGCGTATACGTCGTGACAACACTTATACGCCATATGGGACGGTTAAATAAATAATATTGTCTCCAAATTGTCAGGAAGAAAATTATGCAAGAAAATTAATTAATTAATAAACAACAAATTAACAAGATTCTTAGCATCTTTTAATATAATGAAAATTCCAATAATTCCTTCCTTTCCTTTCAAGCAACCATTTATTTGTTAAAAAAATCTTTTATTTTTTAAAACTTTCCAACAAAATTCCTTTAGCACCTATACCAATGCTAAAGTATTAAAAATAAATTTATTGATATTAATTAAACGTGGGCGTATACGTCGTGTCGATAGTTATACGCCACATGGTACGGTTAAATAAATAATTCATAATATCATCGATGTTGTAATCGATTTTAATATTAATTCCAAATTGTTTTGAGAAAAATGTAGGCAATGAAATTGGAATAGTTTTCGAATATTTGAATGTGACTAAAAAATAAATAAATCAGTTTATAAGCTCCTATATTATCAACGAAAATACCAATAACTTTCCTTTTATTTTTGTTAAAAAAGATTAAATTAAAAAAAAATATTTTTTAGCAATTAAAACATTTTATTAAATGGTACAATACAATTTTTTAACACCTATAAATATGCTACAAAATTTAAAAAAGCATTCCTTAATATAAATTTTAATTCATAATCCACAATAATATTTCACTTGAACAGAAGAAATAAATTTCGCCCCCTTTTTCAAATCAAAATATTTTACATATTTT